CTAAGACAAAGATGATGTTTGGACGTTTTTGGTTGTTGTTGTTGTTGTTGTTGTTGCTGCTGCTGCTGCTGCTGCTGGCGCGGCGGTTAATGTTTCCGCTCACAGCTGACAGCCACACAGCAAACAAAAGTGGTAGCCACAACTTCATCATCTGATGTGAAGAGTGAGCCGCTGTATGATGAAACTCTGTCTCTCTCTCTCTCTCTCTCTCTCTCTCTATCTGTCTCTCTCTGTCTCTCTCTGTCTCTCTCTCTGTCTCTATCTCTATCTCTCTCTGTCTCTCTCTCTCTCTCTCTCTCTCTCTCTCTCTCTCTCTCTCTCTCTCTCTCTCTCTCTCTCTCTCTCCTTTATTCCCAGAACTGGAACCTACATGTAGATCTCACTTCACACGGGATGTTACTCAGGCGATATTTATGTGAAAGTTTATCTCTGTAGTGTTGAGGCCACGCCTGTGAGGAGAACTAAGATTAGCAGCAGAAATGATAAGACTGATAGGAAGATCACGACTCTTTGAAAAAACAATTGAGTTTCAGGGTTTAAAAGGAGACTTTGGATTATACTTAAAGCAACGCTCTGGATGGAATGATGTAAGATAAAACTAAAAACGAATGTAAAAAAAGAAGACCATCGGTTGGTTGGACTGTTCCGAGGCGAGCTGATCTATGCCTCTGTCTCTTCCTATCTCTCTCTTTACATGGTTGCCTTTAAGCACCAGGGGGCTCTCCCGAAAATTGATGTTTTGAGAAAATCGAATATAAAGTTTTTGGACCCATGAAATCTTTCTTTAAAAGACAAGGAGGGTTTTCTCTATAGCTTTATTAAACTACAACCAAACAAATATACACACCAATGCAACCAAACTTCTCCTATAGGTAGGGGGAATGCCCTCTTTTGGTGTAGGTCAAGTTTCTGAAAACCCCTGAGATCTGGGTTCGTCCGCTTGTCCTCAAACGCGACCACATGTAGGCCAACTTTCACACCAAAAAAAGGGGAAAACAGTGCGCACGGAGACAACCGAGGCACAGATCCTGACCTCGCGGAACAGGGGAACGACCTTGACCGTGGCGCAAACTTTTCTGCAAGTGTTTTTTTGTTTGTTTGTTTGCTTGCTTTTGGTAAGTGTTCTACGGTGCTCGCAACTGCATAAGGTCATATGAGTGCGCTGGACACATTAAACATTTTCAGTTGGTAGGAAATTTTAAATTTTGTCCGGGTGGCGGCCGAAGCCTACGGTACTCTTATCGATTTTAGATCGACTGAAAATATTAGGTGTGTCCCGCGCGCTCATATGACCTTATTATGCAGTTGCGAGCGCCGTAAAACACTTTACAAAAAACAAACAAACAAAAACAGGACTATCAGCTCCGTACTCCGGCATGATACCTGTTGAGTTAACGTCACCCCCCCCCCCTCCCCTAAAAAACAACAACAACCCAACAACAACAACAAAAGCACAAACAAAAACACAAACAACAACAACAACAACAACAACAACAAGAATAATAACAACAAGGATAACAACAACTAAAATCAGAACTAAAACAAAACAAAACGAAAAAAAACAGCGAAAAAAAAATCCTACAACAAACCAAGCCTACAAGTACACGTATATTCACAGCGTCCCTAGTGACAGCTCCTTCTCAACCCCACCCCCCAAATAGCGATAAATAAGATCGTTTTCTTCTTTTGGAATCCCCAAAAGGATGGACTTCTTAGTCTATTTCCCCAAATCTGTTTGATATTTATTTTGACTGGTTTTTGTTCACATTTTGAATATAGTGAGTGGAGAAATGTAAGTTTTTTATGAACAGAAAGCGCTAGTGGGTTGAACATGTTCAGTGACATGATGATGTAGATCTAGATCTAGGAGTATACGAAACGTAGAAGTAGATTAGACTTTACAGTTTAAAAATGACAGAACAGCCAGTGGTGCTCTGCTATGAACTGTTGTCTAACAGAATATGCAATAGATTGGATATTTTTAAAACTAAAGATGGCCACTGCTAGAGTCCAGCAGCCTAACTGTTGACTAGATCTAGATCTAGATTAACTACACAGCGAGCTGTTCCCCAATGTCAGAATCAATGATCATGAACTGAAGCTAGGAATTTTAAACAATGGCACTCGTGTACAATAGTGGTCCCGTGTGCACTAAATCACTCAAGGCCTAAGTGCCCCTGTAGTATTTTTTACGCCTTTCTTATTTAGATTTAGGCCTAGATTCTAGAGATCTAGATCTAAACTGTATTAAAATTATAGATCTAATCAAGATCTAGATATAGATCTAGATAGAATCTAGAGATATCTGTAGATCTAGATCTAGATCTAGATCTAGATACACTCCCACATGACAATAATGGCCGTCGTGTAAACATTAAACATTAAATCGTGTACACAAGTGTACAGGTGCACCGAAAAATAAGCCATTGAAACAAGCACAGAAGCTTAAGTAGATCTATCTACTGTTGATGTGATAGTATGAATCAAGTTGCATGATATAGATCTAAATCTAGAGTGTCTCCGCCAATTCACAGACATACCGCTAGTCAAGGGTCGCCCTTCGGTCATTCACCAATCTAGATCTACTTTCCGAACTGCACACTCTTGGCTGGGTGCACAACAAAATCTAGACTCTCTAGATCTAGATCTAGATAGGCTGCGTTTATTCATTAAATACTCTCTCTCTCTCTCTCTCTCTCTCTCTCTCTCTCTCTCTCTCTCTCTCTCTCTCTCTCTCTCTCTCTTTCTCTCTCTCTCTCTCTGGGCTAAAATATATTAATTTTAGTAGGCCTTGGCTAGACATACCGCCTGGGATGATCAATAGCCTTGCATTGTAACCAATATAAACTATCGCCAGCCCAGAGAGTTATACGCGCAGCTGGCAAAGTGGGAGAGGCCTGCGCTTGTCAAATGACGTAAGGAAGAGTTGTCCCGTCTTGTCTTACTGTGTCTTGGGTATCACTCCACTTTCTCAAGCAAAAAAAAAGTTTTTAGAAAAATTTATAATAGATCTAATGATTTTTTTTATCATGTATGATTAGAACATTGAAAATTCCCCCAAAGTTGCTTCCAGAGGAGTAAGACCATAGGCCTACGTAAAAAGCGGTGACAAAAGAAGACTCAACAATATTACTCTGCTTAACTTAGGGCGGAGAGGTTTATTGTCATACTCTCGATACTCTCCCGCCACAATTTTTGTCTAAAATTGTCCGTTGCAATAATGTAAATGAATATTCATGATAGGCTATGACGCACTTGTTAGAGTTCGCCTCGATTTCGTTTTGAATTTTGATGGCGCGAGACAACTGCCAGAGAGTTTTCCAGGAGCGCAGCTATTTCAGTCAGTGCCGAGGTCACAGGCACGATGAAGTCGTTTCCGGATTACAGCCGAAAAACTGAGAGTGAGTGGCTACCCAGTTTGGCACTTCACCAAGGAGGTCTTTTCTCTAAACAAAGCCCTCATGTGCCGGTGGAATTTATTTTATTTTCGGCTCACCAGTTCAAGTTTAAAAGATACCCCTTTATTTTATTCTAAATAGTACTGTGAAAAGAATGGGAACTGTCTTTGTTAACAAAGATGAGTTTTGGCGTTTGATTAATGTTGGCTCAAACAAGTTTCGCCATTGCCGGTTTGCATTTCACCCAGGAGCATCATCCTTCCGACAGTTTAAATAACCAAGCGCAAAACACTCGATCGTCAAAAAAAAAATGAAAATGATACTTGTACGATAATATATCTGAGCAATACTTATTATTATAGACGTTCATATTATGATACTAAACCTACAAATTCTACAAAATCATGACGGTTGATTTAAATAACAAAATAATTAATAAATAGCATTTGTATAGCACATAGATCTAGTCCCACTTTACAGCAAGCTCTACGGTACCCCACGCAGTAGACCCTAAAACACGCAGAAACGTTCTCGGCGTCAAGGGAAGAACTTAATTATACTTATTTTCTTTTGAATGAGGTGAAGATGAATAGGTGTGGTTAGCTGGTTTATTTCGGGAAAGTAATCGAGTATCTATAATTTGACATTGAAGAAGAGAAGAGAGCAAGGGGAGGCCGAGGCGTGAGCCACGGACTGTTGAAGGGCATGAGCGTGAGTCGCAGTAGAGATGCAAGAGAATTGTCACTCATAACGACAGTGCAAGTTGGATCACCACAAAAGGTGGGTGTGTATAGATCTAGTTAAAGTTAAACCACAATAGGCTTGAATTAAACTTGATCTACATTTAAGTCGGTGGTCCGCATGACAAACTGGCATAGACCAATGAAATATTTAAATTAGGCCTGCGCGCGAACGTGACGTCAGCTAGCAGACGACAGACGAGAGTGAGGGCTATACCCACGAGGGAGGAACAGCTAACAATCATTTCCCGAACCTTTTGTCGAGGAGCCTGCATGGTGCTTCCTGAACTCAAGATGGTGATAAAACATGTAGACAGATGCACAAACTGTTCAGGTATTTGGTTAATCTGTTGTTTGTCTTGATTTCATTATAGCAAAAACTTTCCCGACTTGATTGTTCCAATGGATCTCAGACATTAGAGAGCATGGTTCTCCTTTATATTATTATCTTAGGCTTCAGATTCTGATATAGAGTCTAGAATCTAGATCTAGATCTAGAATCTAGAATCTAATCTAGATTCTAGATATCTATTCTCCTCTTGGATGCTCTCAAAAATTCTCACGTTATCCTGATGTTTCGCCGTCACTCATCTGTTCATCTTTGGCGCTTTTTCGGCATGCCCCCTGAATTTTACCATAATTTAATGTTTTGCAGTTGTTAGGTTTGATATCTTAGCTCACCGCGAATCAAACGTAGATCATGCCCCCCTGAAACCCCCCTCTCTTGAGGCCAAAACCGGCGAATAACAATTGCGGGGTGGGAACTACCGAAAAAGCGCCTGTTTTTGTTAGGTAGTTAGATCAGGGCTCTCTCTCTCTCTCTCTCTCTCTCTCTCTCTCTCTCTCTCTCTCTCTCTCTCTC